AAAGGAAAGGAAAGGAAAGGAAAGGAAAGGAAAGGAAAGGAAAGGAAGTAAGAGGAAGGAAAAAAGAGGTGACCCTAGAGATTGGGCACAGTTTAGAAAGCAAGAACCAGCCTGTAATCAGGATACATGCTAAGAAGATAGTACAAATTTTGTCAGAATTTGGGAAGTGTTGAAATAAAGAGTCTTGAAAAAGTCATCATGGTAAGGGGAAGAAAGAACCTAATTATAAAAAGGACCATTAAACAATGTTGTTCATTTCTTCTCCCATTCCTTCTTCCTTTCCCCATTCCTTCCTTCGTTTCCTCCTTCTATTACAAGAATTTAGTATGGCAATATAAAAGTGACTCAAGCCTTGTCAAGTTCCCCGAATGTCATGTCTCACCTCAAAGAGGAACAAATATCTGTTTTGGTCCTGCGCTATCTTTTCAATGGCATCCTCTTCAAAAATCTTCTCCTTCCAAGCAATGGAGACAGAAGGTGAGGGGTTGGCTAAGACGGTGAAGTTGACTTGGATGGGATTCCCAGTCTGGGTGACCAAAGGGACACTCGTAAGGAGTTCTATTTTTGGAGCAACTGAATGGGAGGACAGAAATATAAACTGAAATATGTCGTGAATTTTATATTTGGTTCACACATTGCCTCAGGCCACAAACTATGGTTTACAAACCACTTACAGTATGGTTTCTGAAGTTTACACCGAGATCGGTTGGAGTACAAAGAATGGAGTATTCATAAACCAAAGATTTATCTTTATTATTTGAGAGATATGTGTCTTTTTTTTTTAACCTTGAAAAATAATATAGTGCAGATGTTGACATCAAGCTCAAAAATTTACACTTCTTATCATGAAAGCAGTTCAGTGTTCTGTACTCTGCTCAGAATCTTTGTCTGTGTGTGTGTGTGTGTGTGTGTGTTATACTGAGCATCAAATGTATAATTTCAGTAATTATCTGTAGCTGTTCTGTCCCACCTGTATCCACAGATGAAAATCTCAAGTTACAGAGTTCAAATACTTTACGCCAACAAAACCAGAGACAGAAGATTCAGTTGCTCTGTTATCACAGTCCTTTGGCAATCCTCCTAGAATCTGTCTGGCAATTCTGTATAGTTCGTAAATCACAACGCTGTAGTCAGACGCAAAACTTTCCAAGGCAAAACTCACTTTGTTTCCAGCAAAGATTACGAACTCGTACGCTCCCTTATATCCTCTAAGAGAGGGCGTGTCAGTCTCATTAATTAATCCTTTGCTGGACGTCTCTTTTCTAATTGAGATTGACGTCTCAATCTTCTCCTAGTTCTGGCATCCAGCCAGCATCCGGCAGTTTCATCACCGCTTGAAGCCTCTGACACACTTTCCTGATTAACAGTTAACACCTGAGGTGCAATCAGGAAAGTAGATTCAGGGGAGGGAGTGGACTCTGAAACCTCCAATAAATCAGGCTCATATCTCAGATCCAACTCCTCTCCCTCTACTTGACTCCCCTCTAAGTCACTTAATAATGCAGGCTCGAATCTCAGTGCCAGATCTTCTTCATCGCTCGAACCCACATCTGCTGACTGATCAGGTTCAAGTCTCAGAGTCACAACATGTAGCTATGACCTTTTTAAAAAAAAATTCAATTTCTAAAAAGTAGGGGAAGTCAGGGGCAGACGTAAACTTTTCACCTCTGGCGTTTTCACAATCTGCCTGCAATATTCAAGGTATTAGTAAGCAATCTTCAAAGACTCAGAGGAAGCAATGTTCCCGTGAGAATGAGGAAGGTTGTGTGATGCTCGCAAGTTTCCCAACAAGAACACAGTGGAAGTGCTGTCAAAGTGAGAGTGACAGTTGGCCGCTTCCCTGGGTCAATTCAGAGTGCAGGCTGCAACTAAGATTAGGCTGGAATCCAAGTCTAATTCATTCTCTCTGTCTCTGTCTCTGTCTCTGTCTCTGTCTCTGTCTCTCTCTCTCTCTCCCTCCCTCCCTCCCTTTCCTTCCCTCCCTCTCCCTCTCCCTCTGCCTCTCCCCCTCTCTCTCTCAGTTCCAGCTTAACTCTGGAACAGCTCAAGCAATTTCAACCAAACTTGGTATACAGATAACTTGGGAAACAAATACTGTTGGGGTAAGACACCCCAACACCCCTCGGGGGTGTGTGCCTTAAAATGGCTTCTACTGTACAGCACAGTGGACTTGCCATGGTCATGACTTCACAGAACTCCCCAAAGGGGCTCCCTCTCAGCCCTCCAAGGAAACGACAGGCGATTGGCCAAATGCAATAAAAAAAATGAAACACTAGCATAGACAACAAATTCCTGAGGAGAGGAATAGAAGACTTGCGATGCTGCGCGAGAGACAGTTCAACAGGGTGAGTCCCGACTACAGGATTTTTCTGTTTAATACAGGAAAACCCAGCAACGCGGGTAATTGGCTAGTATTATTTTAAAAAAACCAACAGATTCTGGACCAGTATATGCCCTCATGTCCATTGCTGACGTGGTAGTGCAAAGCCTGGCACCTTCTGGGGAGAGGAGGTATAACTAGTTCGGGTCCTTGTGGTGCACCCTGGATGGCACAACAGTGTGAACTAAATGAACTAGCAACTGCTGGCAGCCAGACTACTCTGTAGACTTTCCTGGCTTTCAAAATACTTGACAACAAAAATGAAAACTGTCTCACTTACTCCCTAATGTATAGCCAACTTCTCTCAAAGGGGTGCCAATAATTCCCAGTTGTTCCAAGTATAGCCATTGTGTTTATTTATTTCAAGCAGTGGTTTCTTTTTTTTTAAAAAGATGCTATCAATAAATCAATCTAATAGTTTTATTAGAGTTAAGCAGTTCATGCTCAATATGACATTAATAAAAGATTAGCCATACCAAGCAGAGCATATTGAATCATTTTTATAATAAAAAGTAAGTATGGTTTTCTTTAATGCAATTACAACCTCCATTATATTCTAATGCAAATTCCGCTTTCTCAATTTGCATTTGACTTTACTAATTTCAACAAAATAGAGCTTGCACAAAAGGTTTTTAAAGAATTTTTTTATCTTAGCGTGTTTACTTTGCAAGCCTTCTCCTCCAGAATTCATTATCGTATAGACTTAGCACATATTATGAACTGTGGGCCATATTCAAAATGTTCAGAAGTCCATTCACATGTCAAACTCATAACTGGTGTAACACGAGCTTTGAAAAATGACCATTTCGTAATTCTGCATGCCAATAAATTCAGCTCAAAGAAAGACTTCTCTATCAAATTGATACACATGTCCATTCAAAGTTTCCCAGACTTCACCCTGAATGTGATCCATGCCCCCTTCTCAAAATCAGATTCATAGCATGTCAGCCTAATTGTCAGAGCCAATTTGGTGTAGTTGTTAAGGCCTCGGGCTAGAAATTCAGGAGATCATGAGCTCTAGTTCACTTCGGCATAAAGCCAGCAGGATGACCTTGAGCCAGTCAATCTCTCCCAGCCCCAGGAAGAAGGCACTTCCAAAAAACCTTACCAAGAAAGCTGCAGGGATTATCCAGCCATTCTCCATGAGTCAACACTGAGTTGAAAGCATCCAAAAAATAAAAAACACCAAACACCAATAGAAAAGTCAGTGCTCCCTAATATGGCAAAGTGCCATGAGACAGAAAAGAGAACTTACATTTAATCTTGAGCGTAAAGTTTGCAAAAGCTACTTCGTTGCGTTCTTTGATGGATGCCTCACAAATATAAATACCCGCATCTGATAATTGGGTGTTCTCTATCAGCAGCTTCCCATTTTCAATAAATAGTTGCCCTGTAAACCCAAAAGAAATGGCTATGATAATTAAATCTGTCTCTAATGTGATTTCATTTAGCCTCAGGCAGTCTTGAGGCTAAATGAAACCCATCAAACTTTATGTAACCACAACTAGTTAGAAACAAGAACAAGTTTTCTTCGTTTTGAGGACTCCCCAAAACACAACAACTATATAACGTATGTACTTTCTGAATCCATTTCAGACAGTCAGTTTTCAGCTTTAGGCATGGGATGGTATTAGTTATTTTTGTGAATGGCATATGGCAGAACTTGAAAGGGGTGTGTGCAACCCTACTTCCCTGCTCAACAATAGCTTCTGAAGCCACTGATCATGATATTCTTCTGGATCACCTGTGATGTTCAGAAGTACTAGGGGCACCATTTTACAGTGATTTTCCCCTCCCCCCTTCTTTAGTTTTATTTTATTTTATTTATTTATTTTGTCAAGAGATTATAAGATAACAGGTATAAGTAAAAACATAGTTATGAATACATGAAATGGATACATATAAGAAAAATAAAAACAAAAGAAACAATAGGACAGGGACGGTAGGCACGTTGGTGCGCTTATGCATGCCCCCTACAGACCTCTTAGGAAAGGGGTGAGGTCAATAGTAGACAGTCTAAGGTTAAAGTTTTTGGGGTTTGGGGAAGAAACTACAGAGTCGGGTAGAGTATTCCAGACATTGACCACTCTGTTGCTGAAGTCGTATTTCCTGCAATCAAGTTTGTTGCAATTAACCTTGAGTTTGTATCTATTGTTTGCTCTTGTATTGTTATGGTTGAAGCTGAAGTATTCATTGACAGGTAAGACATTGCAATGTATAATTTTATATACTATACTTAGATCGGAC